GTATGAGAAAAGCCTGAATTTTATGGCTTATTGTACACAAATGTCAAAATAATTAAGCTGAATGAAGAAAATCATCACTTTAATCTTTGCAACTGGTTACATTTTGGAACTTTATGTGTCACTTAAAGGTCATAGATGTCTGCTATAGATAGATAGATAGATAGATAGATAGATAGATAGATAGATGAGAGATAGATAGATATTTCCCCCAAGAACTTGAAGAAGATCCAGGCCAAGTTATAGTCAGCGCTATTGCTCCACGTACCTTCAGTTTGTTAGGTAACCTGCCAAGTTTTTGTCTGCCTCTTCTTTGGAGGATATTAACTTTTGATTTGATTTGCTTCTCTAGTGCTTATTCAGTATAGTAAACATGTTGTTCACACAATGGAACTGAGAAAGCTTTTAACAACATAAGCTGATGGAAATTTTAAAATTATAAATAGTGTTTGTCTTTCTTCAGATAGTGTACAAACTTCTTTCTCTTAAGATTCAATTCATATTCCAGTGGTAACTCTTCAAGTGACCCAGGAAAGAGTGCTTTGACTCTGTTGGCTTATAAAGGGAATAATTTTTTTTTTTGGTACTGGGGATCGAACTTGGGTCCTTGCACTTGTGGGGCCAGCCAAACCACTGAGCTAAATCCCTGGCCCGATTATTTGTTATTTATATCATAGAAACTTCTAAAAATAATTTGAGGATTATCTCAGAACTATTAAAATTATTAGCCATTAGAAAACCACATGTGTGACAACATAAAATCTATTGTTAACCACAAAATCATAGAATAGTGGAAACAGAAAAAAAAACAGCTGGGCATGGAGGTGCACTCTTGTAATCCCAGCACTTGGGAGGCTGAGGCAGGAGGATCACTGTGAGTTCGAGGCATGCTTGGTCTCCATTGTGAGTTCAAGGCCAGCCTGAACTAAATAGCAAGACCCTGTCTCAAAACAACAACAACAACAACAACAGGACTTAACTCCTTTTTTTTTTTAACAGAAATAAGAAAACTGGATTTAAAAGGTGACATGTAATTTTCATAACAACTTTATTAAGTTATAATTCATATGCTGTATAGTTCACCAATTTTAAGTCTGAAATCCGGTAGGTTTTGCTATATTTTAAAAAATGTACTATCATCATTATAATCAATTTTAAAACATTTTCATCACACTAAAAATAAACCATGACCATTACAATCACTGCCTGTTTCCCACTGAGCTCCTCTGCCTCTAGTGTACCCCAAACCTAGTTGCTGTCTCTGGTGGTAATTTGCCCACTTGGGGTACCTTAGTTAAGTGGACTAATGTAGTATCTGGTCTTTTATAACTACTTTTTTTCACTTTGCAAATAGTTTTGAGGTTCACCCATATTGTAGAACACAGCAGTTCTTCATTTCTAACTACTGAATATTATTCCATTGTGTTGATATACCACATTTTGCCCATCCATTCATCCACTGATGAATATTTGGGTTGTTTCTACCTTTTGGCTATTATGAACAATGCTGCTAAAAACATTCAAGTATAAGTTTTTGTGTGGATATGTATTTTCATCTTTCTTTGGTATTTAGCTAGGAATGAAGTTGCTGGGTCATGTGTAAATCTATATTACCTTGGAGGAACTGACAAACTGTTTTCCAAAGCAGCTATACCACTTATATTTCCAGCATCAATGTGCATTCCAATTTCTCCATATCTTCACAAACATTTCTGATTACCTTTTTTTATTATTATAGCCAGCCTCAGGGATCTGAAGTAGTATCTCATTGTGGGTTTTGTTGGCATTTCTTTGATACATTTGTTGGTCATCTGTATATCTTCTCTGTACAAATATCTATTGATATCTTTCACACAACATTTTTAAATTGGTTTCTTTTTATTTATAGGGTTGTGTGAATCTTTTACATATTTTAGATATAAGCCCTTTGTCAGATAATGACTTACAAATAGTTCCTCCCCTGCCATAGGTTATTGTCTTCATTTTCTTCATTTAAAAATTTTGCTCACAACATATTGTCTATTTTTCTTTTGTGGCTTATGCTTTTGGTTTCAGATCTAAGAAACCATTGCTTAATTCAAGGTCACATCAATTAATACCGATACTGTCTTCTCAGAGTTTTACATTTTTATTTTTTACATTTGGGTCTTTCTTTTCTTTATATTTAGTCCTTGACCCATGCTATCTTTGAATATCATATGAAATAGAGATCTAGCTTTATTCTTTTGCATGTGGATATCCATTGTCCCAACAATCATTTGTTGAAAAGATTATTCCTTCCTACAGTGTAATGTCATCCCTGTCAAAGTGAATTGATCATAAATAAGGTATTTATTTCTGTTCAACTCCATTGATCCAGATGTCTATTCTAATGCCAGTACCAGACTATCATGATTACTGTAGATTTATAGTAGGTGTTGAAGTCAGAAAACATAAAAGCTCCAATGAACTCTGTTCTTCTTTTCCAACATTGTTTTGTATGGATCCTTAACTCTTTATGTGAATTTTGGGATCCATCTGTAAATCTATATAAAGAAGGTAGCATGAATTTTGATAGGAATTTTAATGACTCTGTAGATGGCTTGGATAGTATTGTCATTTTAACAATATTAACTCTTCCAATCCATGAACATGGGATGCCTTTCCATACATTAGCTCTCCTTTAATTTCTTTCAACAATGTTTTGTAATTTTAGTGTTTTGTAAGTTTTCCACGACTTTTGTTAAATTTTTTTCTAATTATTCAATTCCTTCACATGCTATCATAAATGGAATTGTTTTCTTGATTTTTTTCATTCATTTCAAGTGTAAAGGTATAGAATCTCTTATTTATTGATTTTATATTTTGATAACTTGCTGAGCTTGGTTAATTAGTTCTAAGAGATTCTGTTTAGGATTCTCCTCAATGCTTAGGATGTTCTATATATAAGAGCATTCCATCTGCAAATAGAGATAATACTACTCCTTCCATTCCAAACTGGATGTCTTTTTTGTCCTTTTATTGCCTATTTTCCCTAGCTGAAACCTCTAGCAATGGATATTCTTGTCTTTTTCCTGATGCTAAAAACAAAACTTTAAATTTTTGCTAGGAAACACGTTTTATTGGGAAAGCATTCACCAACAAATAAGTTAGCTGTGCTTTTCCTAAATGTCTATTTTTGGGCTTTGGAAACCCCCTTTTATTCCTACTTTATTGGGTATTCTTATCATGCAGGGATGGCAAATTTTGTCAAATGTTTTTCCTAAGTTTTGGGGAATGATCACATGGGTTTTCTCCATTTGTTCTGTTCAAATGGTGTACCATGTTAATAGATTTTCAGATATTAAACCAACTATGCATTCCTAACACAAATTTGACTTAGTCTTAGTGTATAATTCTTTCTATAATTTGATGGATTTGGTTTGCTAATATTTTTTCTTAAGGATGAGAATATTTCACTTATATTTATGAGAGATATTAATCAATAGTTTTCTTTCTTGTGATGTCTGTTTGGTTTTGATATCAGGACTCAGAATAAGTTAGTAATTTATAAAGTGTTAACATTCCTGAAAAAAATCAGATGGTGGGAAAAACTGAGAGTTAGAAACTGTAAACCCCTTGCTCTGTCACAGGTACACTGTAAATAGAATGTGTTTGCGTGTATACATACATAAATTTTATGCACAGGTAACTTTATGCATATATCTGTTACTTTAAAGATTTGTGGCTAATGAATGAAAGTTATCTGAGATCTCATGGTTTTAAAATAGTACAATCATCTTTTGATTCTTAGTTTTCTTGCTCCTGACTCAATGAACTCCATTGGCTCTGGAACCAACATATTTCTTAGAGATTTTCCAGTCTTTTGTGATACATTCAAGCAAGGCTCCAAAAGAATAGATAGAATTAAATGAGGCTTTTGATAATGACTATCAGATCATTAAGTATGCTGTTAACTTGGGCATCAATATTCTTATGATGATGATGACTAGCACTCTGCCTTTCTTCCTTACTTTGTTTCTTTATTTAGTGTTTGTGGTTGTGGTTGTTGTTGTTGTTTGAGACAGGGTCTCTCTATGTAGTCCAAGCTGGCCTTTAACTTCACAATATACCCTTGATAAGAATGATAAACATAGCACTGGACTTCTATAATCTTCCTCCAAACACTTAATCCCAGTCCAATCATAAATAAATCATAACAGATGGATTTTTACAAAACTCCTCAATCTGTTATGGTCATTATCAAATAAGGACAGCCTGTCATAGCAGCAGGATCCTAAGAAGATATGACAACCAAACAGAATATGCTGTCCTGGGTTCAGCACGTGTGGCAACTTGCTCATATCTTCTTGATTTTTTTGTAAATCAAAAAGTTTCATGGAAAATAATTTCTTGGAAAGCACACTGGATGGTCTGAACAGTGGTTTCAGCAGAGCTAAAGAGAAATGTACTTATATTGAAGAGAAATGACTCAGAATTCAGGGATACAGAGACTATGAAACAGTGCAGACACAACAGGAAGCTCCAGCATATCTAATTGAAGTTCCAAAAGAAATATAAGGAAGGAATGGATGAGTTATAAAAGTGAAAGGAAGTCTGAGAATTTTCAGAGCTGATGAAAGATCCATCCACTTCCTTAGACTCAGGAAGTCCAGCAAATACCAAGTAGGGAAAAAAAAATCCACACATCAAGACACATTGCAATGAGAAGATCACAAAAGCAGCCAAAGGGGGGGAAAAGCTCAATAACCTAAAAAGTAACAAGAATTAAACAAAAAAGTGACTTCTCCATCAGAATGTAGTATAATAATGTTTTCAAAGTGCCATGTCTGATATACCAATGGTCTGAGTATGTATTGATGCCCAAATCCATTCCTTTCCCATTATTTCTTTTTACATATTAAATAGAAAGGTGAGCCTATATGTTTCTGTGATAAAAGTACAGTGCTCTGATTTGCTATGAAGAAATGCTTAGACAAAAACATGATGAATCAGGGTAAAAGGAACAAATAAGGGCCAACATTTCAAAAAATAAAGGTTTCTTTTCCTTTTATTAAATGATTAAAATAATGTTTCAGATCTATGGTCATTTTCCTCTATGAAGTATTTCAGGGATTTAGGTGTCTTGCACACTGAGGTCCCTCTTGTCAACTGTATCCATCCAGGGAAAGGAGAAGCAGAGCTAGGGGAAGCCACATTCACTTCTTAAAAGCCTTGGCCTGGAAGTAACACATATCATTTTCACTTACATATGTTTGACAAAAACCAATTACATAGTCTCAACTAATCATAAGGCTGGGAAATATAGTCCAGCTCTGTGATCAGAAAAAAAGAAAACAAAATTTTTAAACAGCTAACAGTTTTCAAAACATATGCACATACAAATAACCGAAGAAAAATCCATGTCTATCCATAAGGCACTCCATATTCAGATTCTGAAGGGAAATTTTTCTGATTTGGCTAGAGCACAACTGTGCTAATGCACTCGATATACTTACCAACTTACTTACAACTCAGCCTGAAGCAAGCACGTTCATATACTTTGCTGCACTCAGAGATCTCTAAACAGCAGATAAGTAGGTGCACTGACTGAAAGCAAAATAATCCCTCTCAAGGCAAAGCAAAATGTTTCCCTAAAGATTAATTTCTGCCTCTCATTTTATGAGCCAAAACTGAATTGAACAAAATACCAGCATTCCATTTTCAAAACTTTCAAATTCAGTCCCTATTGGCTTTCCGTTATAAATAAATTGTAAAGTCCTTCAGAATTCTTCACCTTCCTATGTCACCTGATGATTTACACACAATACATTTGACACACTAAGCTGTCAGTAAACCTTTGCAGAACTGAATGTCTTGGTGGCAGGAATCTCGTTGGCATTTTTTTTTTCTGACATGGGAACAAACCTGGGATAGTGATTTTGCAAAAAGGTCCTTAATCCTTGTCTCCACCACGTAGTGAAGGAGAACAGTTGTAGGAAAGGCTGGTGATTTTTCCTGGCAGGCTGGAGCCTGGCACATGTAACATAGAGCGTTACCTGAACTACCTGCAAGGTATTTGCTATTGAAAAAGAACAGTGACTATACACATTTATAGTTCAAATAAGCTAATTAACCAAAGCTATTTGCACCAGAACTTTGAGACCTTGCAATCCACTTGTGTTAAGTAGGTGTGCCCTCTCACAAATATTTGGAAGTAGTATTGATTACTTTTCGTAAGCCCACAGTCCATATGATCTGTCAGGCTTCTTGGTTTTACTAGACTGATACACTTGTTTCTTCAAAGCTCGGGTGCCCAAGGCCTTTATGCACCAACCCAACATAGCTTCAGCTTTCAATAAATAGAAGCTTTTGGGTAATTAGTTTCTCCTGCAACTCATACCTCTTTTCCTCCTGATTTTAAAGCAGAAGTCAGTAGCTACAATGTTTTCAGCCTATCCCATATTTGATTTTTTAAAAAATTAAATCTAAACCTACAGTCAAAACAATACAGGAAGGCTCCAAACAAGTATTCTGCAAAAAAGAAAATTGTTTAAAAATTATGACAAACTTGGAATCTAAAGGAATTTCCTAAAACTGATAAAGAACATCTATTTAAAACCTAACAACAGTTAGTACTTAATGGTAAAATAACTCATACCCTGCCTACTCCGAAACAAGATATGATGCCTGCTATTCTTGCATTTTTTCAAAGGTTTTACTGTGCCATCTACACAGCACAATGAAATAAGAAAATAAAGTAGAAATATAAGGATAAGAAAAGGTAAATCAAAATACTGAAATTAATAAAAATAGGTTTCTTGATACAAAATATAAAATATAAAAATGATGCAATGTCTGTATCCTAGCAATAATGAGTTAGAAAATATAAGATCTAAAAATCTCTTTCACCATAGAAACAAAAATCTGAACTACACAGCTAACCAAATATGTTCAAGATATTTACACAGAAAATTTAATATCATACAGGTCACAAGAAAAGGCCTAAATAAATGAAAAAATATATCATGTTTGTTGATAAAATTTCATATCATAAAAGTAACAATTCTCCCCCATGTTAACCTATAACTTCAATGCAATTCTAATGAAAATCCTAACAACACTGATACAGATCTAATTCTAAGATTTATATGGAAAAGTAAAAAAGCTATAATAATAGACCATTTTGAGTGGAAGAAGAGAAGGAGGAGTGATAATGTCCTACCAAATATGATAAATCTTTAATAAATGAACTGTGCGATATTTACAGGAATAAATTAACAGATTAATGGAACAGAACAGAGTTCAGAAAAGGCTCCTCATCTATAGGGAAAGTTGATATTGATGGAAGGATGCAAATGAAAGGCTGTCAAATAAACAGTACAGGGACAAGTATTTATCCCATGAAAAACATACTAAAAATTATATTCCAAATGTCTTAAAGACTAAATATAAATAAATCATCTTTTTAAATTTTGAGGAAGAAAATTTGAAAACCAAAAGTTATTTGTTAATAAGAACCTCCCCCCAAAAAAGGACTGGTACATCTGACCTCATTAAAACTTCATATTTGTATTTTCAGAAGATACAAAATAGACAAACTTACACTGGAAAATGTATTTGTAACATATATAATAGATAAAAGGAAATAAGAATATATACATTATGTTGGAAAATCAGATAAGAAATTTTGAAAACTCAGTAGAAAACTGGTCTATGACTGGGAAATTCACAAAACAGGAAAGAAAACTGTGATAAAATACATACAAATGTTACTTGCAAAGGTGATAAAAGAAATGCAAATCAAAACTATGTGACATTTTGTTCTTATAAGACTGATAAAGATTTTAAAGTTTGATAATTTGAAGGATGTGTGAGAATAGGGGAAGCAGGAGCTATCTAGTGCTGACAGGAGAAATTTGTAAATCTACCATGAGAGGCACTTCATGAAAAAGCCACCTTCAACCAGCTCTTCCACTTTTAGTTATATATTCTTGAAAAAATTCAAGATCTCGTTCAAGGATGTTATTCCGCGTCACTTGTGAAAGCAAACAAAAACTGAGAAAGGACCTATATATTCTATTTAAAGAATAGAAAAAAGAATCATACAATGTAATACCACATGGTAATTTTCCAAGCTAGCATAATTTATACATATTAACATAGGTAAAAACTACAGTACCCAAGTTTGAATGAAACATGTATCAAATGGGATGGTAGAAACATAACTGTCTATTAGATTTTCATCTAACCTTTTGGAGTGTAAGAAATAGTCTATCATTTAAAAATAATAACAAATTTCTATTTTACACAATATTAACCAGAACAAGCTGAGTCTAGGAATTTCCTAAATGATTTTTCTCCTGTGAATTAGTCAGTATGAAAGGCACCACAACTTTTAGCAACAAACTGATCAATATATCACTTCACTGAATTTCTACTGATATTTTTATTGTTTAGCACTAGGCTGTGTCACAGATTAAAACAAATGTGTTAGGGCTGGGGATTTAGCTCAGTGGTTCCGCTGCCTGCCTTGCAAGTGTGAGGACCTGAGTTCGATCCCCAGTTCCAAAAAAAAAAAAAAAAAAGAAAAAATGTGTTAAATGTTGAAGTGATAAAACAAACAAATCTTTTGCCTAAATTGTACAATGGTCACCCTCCTTTGGACATATTACAAAGAGATCTAAATAATGACAGCCCATAAATGATCTAAGTTTCAGTAGTTTTGCCACTAATGAGCCTTAAGAATTTGGGGAAGTTGCATTTCCTCTTTGACTTTCATTGTCATCTTGTACATAGTGAAGGTTTGGACTAAGGACTCCTCTAAGAATTCTGACCCCAGTAATTCAGTGACCTACAATTTGACATGACATGAGCAAGCATCCTAAGCTCAAATAATTTATATATATATAAATATATGAATAATACATACATGAGATTTCTGAAGAAGAGAACAACAACTAAGTGAACAAAATGGATGGTCAAGTTGAGAAGTTAAGTTTTTTCATAAATGCAAAGAATAATCAATTGATTTCTAGTTTTGAAGGTTAGGAGCTGGCTGAAAAACTTACACAACTGAATTTAAAATATCTGCAAATAACCAATTTTCAAAAACTCAAGCTGTGTTTGAAGTCATACTTTTCTAAAGGCAAACTAAATATAGTTTTAATTTAACTTCAACATGTGTCTATAATAACTGATTGCCCCAAATCCTTCTATTTTTCTCTCCCAATGGCAAAATGCAAGACTTTAAACACTTCTGTAATTATAGTAAACATAGACTACAGTCTGTACGACTGCAGCATAGTATTTGGTGTTGCTAACCTGTGCACTGCCTATAAAGACCTACGTAAAAAGAAATCCAATTGGGAAGTGGAATCAAACACCAGATTCCAGGTGAGGGAGTGCATAGGGTTTAATTTTTTTCTTCATCATTTTTTTCTCCATGTTAAATGAGTGGCTTTCATATGAGCCATTTCCTAGTTTATAGATGGAAATCTGTCTGAGATTATGATGTAAATAAGAAGAAGAAAGTTTTCAGTGTTGAACTAGCAACTGAATTTGAGAATAAACCAGCTCTGAAAATCCCAGTATCTTGGATGGTTTCCCAACCCTTGCCACACAGTAAAGAAAAGACAACTAGATTAATCCAAAAGTATATGATATAGGACCCATAATTAAAAATAATATTTACTCAACAAACATTACTCCTTCCACATCTATACTCAATTTCATCCATCTCTTTTTGTTTTTTGTTTAGTTGTTTTGTCCCCCTCTTTTCCTGTCTCAGATTAGAGAATAAGGTTTGTCTGTGTTGATGAGGAAACCATCAATTATATTTCTATTTTTCTACCATTTCAATTAACTGTTTATGAGTTCAACTAACTGCAAATCAAAGTATTCAAATAAATTGCATCTATACTAAACATGTACAGCTTTTTCTTATCATTTCTTAAATAATATAACTACATAGCATTACATTGTGTTAGGTATTATACATAATCTAGAGATGATTTAAAGTATATGGGTGGTGGGGTGGGGATTTAGCTCAGTGGTTCCACTGCTTGTCTCACAAGCGCAAGGTCCTGAGTTCGAGCCTCGGTACCAACAACAACAAAAAGTATATGGGGGGCATAGGTTTATATGCAAAAACGATGCCATTTTTGTAAGGAACTTGACCATCTGCAGATTTGGGTATCTGAAAAGGATCCTAAAACCAATTCACCATGGATACCAAAGG